TTTCCCCCACTGTATTTTCCCTTTTTGGCTACAGCAGCAGATACTCTAGTTTGTGTAGTCCTATTATTGTTGGATTTAAACGAGAAAAAAGCTTAAAAAAAGCTCCTATTTATAAGCCAAAACTGTCCTAGCTTGTCTAACATGCTTCGTTGATAAATGTCGTAGCCTTAAAAACAGTAACAATGATAGTAGCTAACAGCTTAGTTCACAGTTTCTCTAATAATAGAAATGAATCACAGTGATGTGATGTATTTCCATTACTAATGTAGCATCGTGCCACCACTGTTTGAGTAACAACGAGCTTACAGGCGGCTCCATAATTATTTAGACAGGCGGATCAGGCCGGGTTTCTTTACTTGTGTGTTCCACCTGGAGACTTCGTCCATAACTGGAGTTTCAAGAGCTCCAGCTTCTCAATTTCTCCCTTTTTTAGGGATGGGGATCGTTAATATTTATTGACATCGATACCTTTATCGATGCTCCTCATCGATCCGAGTCTTTATCGATACCACTATCGATACTTTTCTGTTATTTGGTGGAAAGACGTTGCGACAATATTTAGCAAATAAATAATTAAAATTTTCAATTAAATGTAATTTTTAATAAATGTTGGCATCAGTAGTTTAATTATATATCCTAAAATAATTAGAGCAATATACAACTTTATCACTCATGTTTCTCGCCAAAAACTCAATTTCCCTTTTCTTTACATTACACTTGAACGCATCATGATAACCTAATTGTCGTTTTACTGAGCCAATCTGAACACGTCTGAAACTTTATTTACTTTTCAAGCTAACTAGCTTGTATGCTGCCGATTACAACACGGATTTCACAATTACTATTGTAATAATAAAAAAAACGACCAGACTCGATAGTGGTATCGATAATAAGCCCAAACGTTATTGATTTTCGGGTTTTGAAAAAAGTGGAACCGGGTCCTTGATAGAACCGGGTTTCGATCCCCATCCCTACCCATTTTCAAGGTGAAACTTATCTGAGACTGACACTTATTACGAATATCAGCCATAAGCAGAGCTTCCTGCTTTACGACGCTTTCATGCCTTTTTAATGGAGCCGACTTCGGCTGATTCAGTTGACAAAATGTTTCCTTTCCGTGGAAGTGCCGCCATTACAGCCGAGGGGCTTTTGGCCGGACCCGAGCAGGAGGATCCAGAATCCATTACTTCTCTGAGAGGGGATCCACTCCCTCTCTCAGCCATAAATGCCAACGTGATTGACTTATATATCAAGATCCAATCTTTTTTCTCCCTCTCCTCGGCCTCATCCCGCTGTTTTATAGGGATAAGATGCCCTCCTTTCCACGTTTTATTTACAGGAGTATCGGTCATTTTTCAATCCGAATGGCCCGAAAAGTTAATGAAAAGGACACCGTGCCCCTATAAAATTCACGGAGTCTTTGGAGGATGTTTTTATACATAAAAGCTTCAGCAGAGAAGGAGAGCCTGGATTGATTTAAGAGGCCGTAAAAGTGGAACGGATAGAAAACTTGTAAAGTTAGAAGTCCAGAAGGTGTCGTTAGAGGAGGGGATCTTTTTGGTTCGATCCTCCGGTGGACTGTTGGGTCTCCTGATGAGGTCTTTATGGGTTTAAGTCCAGAAATGAACAGTTTCAGGTGTTCAGGCTGTGTAACCTAACAAACTATCCCCCTGTACTGAAGCAAAAGGAGCCTTTTTGTCTGAATATCTATGGACTAACTGTATGTTAAGCCTTCTTATAGAAGTTTATACTATAAAGATAATTTAACATGACAACAGATCATGATAACCTATTTCTAATAAAAAATGTCAAAAAACATTTACAAGAGGAACCTGGAGACGGTGCTTTTAATGATCGGCCTTTACGGACTCCTGGAGCTTTAGATTCTTATCTGCATCAGATTTGGAGAAGAAGAGGGGGTGTCCCAACACTTTTGGCTGTACAGTGTACACCAGATACAGTGGGGGAAATAAGTATTTGACCCCTTGCTGATTTTGCAGGTTTGCCCACTTACAAAGAATGCAACGATCTATAACTTTAATCATATGTACATTCTAACAGTGAAAGACAGAATCCCAAAGAAAATTCCAGAAAATCACATCATATGAATTTATAAAAATTGATAACCATCTGATGAGGAAAAATAAGCATTCTTTGTAAGTGGGCAAACCTGCAAAATCAGCAAGGGCTCAAA